GATTCGATCCTCAGGCGGCCAATCTGGTCGAATACGGATGTTTGAGGCACGAGTTTTTAGTGCGCTTTTCAATAATATGTCTCTTTCTTCAAAACTCCCGAGAACCAGCTTCAGGATTCTTCTTGGTTGGGTCTCGCCTCCAACCCATTTACCAAGTCGTATTACTTTTGTAATATGTACCCCTGAAACCTCTTCAAGTAGTACATTCCTTACCACAGACTCCACTAACTGCAGGTCATGTGCATGTCTTCTAGCATGGTTGTTGTCTTTCGACTCCTCTAGATTCCAAATAATTAAACTAGGGAGGGGTTTAGCTTCTTTTGAAACTGTGTTCACAGCTTTCGACCGTGACGTTAGATCCTATATTTTAACTACTGGTGTCTTAAGATTAGTTTTTATTGTAACAAATTCCTGGGAGTCGAGCGAGTGACTCACAACAATGTTAGACGAAGCTTCACTATGGGACTTTGACGGAGTGGTCCGAGAGTCCACCAAGGACTTATCAAGTAAACGGTCATTGGTTTTAGCTGTCTTTCCAAATCTTCTGCGTTTCCGTGTCATCCATATTCCATCAGTCGTAGCATCCACATTGGTTCGTCCATAAATTATAGCCTCGTTAAAAGATTCACTTTACTAAAACTAAATATAATAACATTTAATATTGTCACAACAACCTCTCTCCATGAAGCACTGTTCATAGTATTGTAGCGACTCACTTTTATCACGAGAACACGATTGGTTTATTGAAAAAAATTATTATTATAATCAATTGTACCAGTGACTGTTTAATGTGCCCTTTGTTTAACTGTGCTAAAAACATCCATTATACTTACTTCAATTGTGACCTCACACGAATTCGGTTACCCTCTGTAATCAAGCTTGTATCATGGCACGATTTCGGTATTCTTTCGATACCACGAGATCGCCAGCAAATATATCTCGAATTGGTTCATTAGCTGCCTTCTGATATTTGGCTTCCGGGGGATTTTATGGATATTTTGGCACGCGTTCTTTTGTAGTGGTATTCATAGTCAATTTCGACTCAACACCAGGCTACAGTATTTTAGTGTAAATATGGATATGCCATATATCATTCTGATGACACTTCGTAATCGTTGGTGGCAGGCTATTATTCGGCAAACTGGGTATCTAAGTGCGCCGACATTTGTTCTGGTTTCAACTGGTTACAACGTATCATTCTAACGTCGTCCTGAGGCCGCTAAAGGTTAAGAAAGACAAAGTTAAAAGGAGATCAGTTAAACACAGTCTCAAAAGAATCTTACCAAGAATGGTGGAATTTGCTCAATGTCCCTTGTGAAGCTTCAGGGCGTTGCTGCCAAATACGATCTTCACGTTTATACACCGGCCTGTTCAGTTGTCTGTCGTACATGTTATTCTGGTGTTTGTTGGCATTCTGTAGATTGGTTTTGACTCGGAGATACGCGTCGTCGAAACGGCCCCACAATAGCGATGCCAACTCGCATATATGGCCCAGCTGTTATCATTAGGGTTAACGGAGTGACTTTTTGGTGTAGCAAGTTTTAACTTTTCCAAAATTCTTTAAATTATCCTTTCAAAACATATTCGTTGATGGATGATCAAACAAATCTCTGGCAAATGGAATGTTCGGTTTTTCGTTTTCCCGAGTGGCTGACATCACAATGCACCTGCTCTATGATATTTTGAACTTTAACGCGTGATACTACAGAATAGTGGCTGTTTCAACAGATCGACTAAAAACAACCTATAACAATTCAGTCACAGATTACTCCGTTCGACCCAGAGACGGTATATTACTAAGTTTATCCATTGGACACTAGTGCAGTCTTGCGGCATGTTCGCATAAGGTCGATTTTAGAAAACCATTGTTTTGGATGAAACGCAAGCAACAAATCTTGTAAATGGGTCTCGGGTAACGATCACGTAAAGTTAAGTTATTCAGCACGAAGTCGTGAATCTGGACTCCTCCTCGGTACCATGTTAAGCGAAGCTGTACAGAGGATGCTCGGAGGATGAATTAATCCAAATCGCATCACGTGTTCATATTTGGTTTTTGAAATGGTAAGTTCGTCTGGCAGTAATCGACGTAGACGTGCCGAAACTAGTTGACCTTTTGTGACAATTCGATGTACTATTAAATGTGGAATGATAATTTCGCTGTAGTCTGTTCTCCTTACTTCGAGAAATTTTGCTAAATTATCGGCAAATATATCATGTATTTGGGTGTTTATTTTAAAACTGTGTGGTAGTTCGATTTATCTCTTAGAACTTGAAGTTTCGAGCATTCAGTAGACTTGGCACAGTGTTTCACACACTAGAATAGTTGGCTTTGTGCTCCCCAGAATGAGAACAGAACAAGCATCATTAGAATAGATTTCTGTTAACAGTCCATATGCTGCTCGACTGAACGGACACGTAAAACCTCGGAGGAATAGGGACACAATTCGATGCCTTTCCGTTATTCCTTCCTACGCTCCCACTCACTGCATCTCGGATGAAGAGAAAGATGAGTTTGATAGTTGCTTTCTGAACGTCTTCATGAAACTAAACACTCGTGACAGACGAAATTAATAACCAAGTAGTTAGAAAAGAAAGATATTTGGGTGGGTGTTTCAGGATTCCGGTGACAGTTTACTGCAAGTTTGCTGAGAAAATCGTTTATTTTTGATAAGTGTGTGGTGGACCAGACGATATATAAACACAAATAATAGCAACAAAGTTAATAAAAAAACAATAGTAATATTAATGTTACAAATACAATAAAATTGGGACTTTACTTAAGTTCACCCAAAATGATGCGTGTTCGGCTTTAATCTGGTACAATAAATCTACAATTGTAGATGCTTGGTAATTCCAGATGTATCAATGAACTTGTAGCGTGGCGTCGAGTTGAGGTTAACTATGAAAACCGCTACCAAGTAACACGTGCCAAGCTAATCAGAAGGCGTAAGAAGCTCGTTCCAAATGACTCCATAAAATCCCCGAGAAGCCGAATACCAGAAGACAGTTAATGGACCAAGTCGAGGTTTATTAGCTGGCGATCTCGTGGCATCGAAAGGATACCGAGATCGTGCCAGGATGCAACCTTGGTTACAGAACGTAACCGAATTCGCGCGAAGTTACAATCAAAGTGTAAGTAAAAGAATGGAAGCACAAAATAGCTGTCATTAGCACAGTCAAACAAAAGCACGTTAAAACAAACACTGGTACAGTTGGTTATAATAATAATTGTTTTTATTAAACCAGTCGTGTTCTCGTGATAAACGTGAGTCATTACAAACTCCCCAGTGGTGTAATCCAAATTAAGATATGGGGTATTCGGTTTCTCAGTCTATGAATGTCAATAATATTTGTTTTAGATCTCAGTTAACTCAATCTCCAATGAAAACAGAACGGGGAATGTGAGAGAAGCAGTGTATTTGTTAACCAGCAACGATATGTCACGCTATGTAGTATCACAACGGAAAAAGTCTTCAAGGTCATTTTACTTAAACAACAGGTACAATCATTTAATGATAAATGTACATTCAATGAGAAATTGACAAAATAAATACAAATAATATTAAAAACTATTTACAAAATAAGCTTGTCAGTCATATCTCCACAAGCGCTATTTTGAAATATAGGGAGAGACATCACCTAACATGGCAACCCACTGCACTAAATTAGCGATGGATTCAAATAGACACAGTTTAAAAGACTCGATAAAAGACTGCATCAAGTTCTGGAATACATGTTTCGAATCTGATCATTCCCTAATAGGAACATACATTTGCTTACTATCACTGGAAATAGGAAAAGCTCATGTAAATTCTTTGAGGTGGAGCTTATGCGATTCTAAAAATGAGGCTGCTCCAGATGTTACTTAGAAAGATAAACGAACATCTGCGGAAGCAGCAGCTACATCTAGTGGTGATTTGAACCAGAGGGTCACCAAAATCCAGCGGATTTCTGCAATACTTATTGCACTGTTAGACTCTCGTAGATTTATCCCACGAGGCTGCGAACACGATGAATAGCGAAAACAAACTAGATCTAACCTAACCAAAAGTCTAGGGAACGACCGTGATCAATAGGGGGCAACGAAAGCATAAGAGATGGAAAAGGTATCGACTGTGGGTAACACAAGACAGATTTTCAGACTAATAAAAGAACCTGGAGTTGAGAATTCAAGCGTGAGGCGAACTCCGAAAAAAAGACACATATTTGGTCTCAGTCCAGACGTCTAGAACGATGGGCGGAGCACTTTGAGGAGGAGTTCGGCTGGCTTTCAGATACATTACAACTGACCACTTTTCTAAAACAGCCTTAGTTGAACATGAAAGTTTGACCCCCCGACTCTAGTCGAAGTTAAAAAGGTTACAGCTAATTCGAAACAAGATAGGGCAGCTAGTCTGGAGGGGTTAACTCTACAGATCTTTAAGGATGGTTGACTAATATTTTAGCTACAATCTGGAAACTGGACGTAATCCCATGTGAATGGTCACAATCACTAAAACCCCTAAATGTCCTGGCACGGTCGATGTGGAGAGAGTCAGCTCTCTCTCTCTCTCGAAATGCCCTCACATGGCCACGCGTATATAGGCTCTTTCAATGAAGTCCTACTCACTTTATTCTCATGATGGGATTGTTGTTCACGAAATTGAGAGGAAGAAAACTGAATTTCCGGTGCTATAACCGGGTTGGTGGATATTGAGGATGCACATGGGAAGTTGGAAAACCCTTATTCCAAGCCAATGATGCACATGGTCTCCAGGATCCTGAGGGGGCAGATGGCGTATGGACTGATCATTGGTCATGGGTCTGCATCTCCTGACATTGTTCCACTTCATGTTGGTTCACTTGTTTAGGTCGAAGTCTAGGGGTGTAGCCTCTTAAAAAATTATTTGTATCGGTTTGTGCACCCGTGAAGTTTCTCGGCCCTCACACGAATCGAATGATTTATGTGGTGCATATATATTTGGTGCCTCACTGTACCGATGTTGTGTGTTTGTATAAACCAACTTTCATAAAACGTACGCACATTAAGTAAACGCAGTGAGTATGAATTCGCTCCCTGTTAGATCCAAAATATTGACTTCTTCCGTACTCTTCAGTCTAAACGACTCAAAAAAGAATTATTCCCAAGGATTTATTAGTTCTCGTTTAATTTCTGAATTTTGGGGACACAACCTTCCTTTAAATACCTGGATATACTGTCACACTTACTAAATGCCAGCAATCATTTCATGACGGTAAGGTCACTATTTATTCGTTGAAGAGGGTTGTGCTCTGGGATTATCTTTTAAAGAAGGATCTAGGGAGTTCTTTAATACCTTAAGAGCCCTGTGAAAAAACAAGTAGAGCAAGGACATAAAAACGTTCCTTCTAATAGTAGGTTAGTCAGAACTGCCAAGTCTCATCACTGCTCTGTTATCCTTTTTCAACGACCTCCTGGGAACAGTTGTAAAGGGGTTTTGTGGCGATGGTGGTCTAGATGGGTTAGCTGGGGTAAGGATTTTTAGCTTACGATGTGCAGAGAGAATTTAAATAGTATTTACTATGTATGTACCATCGTATATACGGTTACACCCAAGCTGTCTGAGTTTCATTTGATCAGTGAATATTCAGCAACCCTTAGTATTACAAGCACTTAATGCCACTAAAATTTAAGATTCATCTCCAAGGTTCGAAGCTAGGATCCTAGTTTTATTTTGGGGAAAATGTCAATTTTGTGTAGATTTTGGAGAAGGCGCAATAGAAAACTTTGAGGATTTGGAACAAAAATCGAGAACCTTCCCAAATCTTGACCGATTCCCTGAAGTTTTTCGGGAGATCCCAAGAATGTTGGTAGAATTTGGGGTTTTTCCACGAACTTTAAGGAAAGTTAACTTTCCCACTAATTTACTAAAAACTCTCAAATTTACCTACAATCTCTTTAAACAGGGAGAATTTTTGCTTATACTTGCACTTTTCTTGAGACCTTTCCAAGTAGTCGGATAGCTCTTGTAACTAAGTAGATTTGTGAGTAATTCCGGTGTAATGCATGTCAGTTTCTTTATGATAAAAATAAGAGTGGCTTATCTAGGTTGTTAGGAACTATTGTGATCTTTTATTTGCTCACTTGTTTTGCTCTTATTGATTTATCATTATCCCTGTTTTTATTTACATTCTTTATTCCAGCAGGAATGACAACTGCAACTAAAAAGACTTTTGGTATGTTAAATACATCAATTTAAAGTTCATGTATTTAAAAAATTAATAATCACCTAAAGGATCAGTTGGTTGTGTACACAGTGCCGATAATCATGAAGATGTGAAATTATGTTCCATTGAGGCTAAAGCTGCCATAGCTGAAGTGGGGTTTGGTGTGAAAGAAATATGCTTAGCATCCGATTCTCTTCCATTTACGGACACATTAGCGTACTTGAATCTAACTACATTGGAGGGGGAGAAAATGTGTGTTGAAATTAGTGTCAAAGGATTTTGTCCCGTTGGTTCGTCGTAAGTCCCACGCTTTTTTTGACATTAAGATTTATAATTATCAATTTTAGACGTTTTGTTGTACTTTCAACCTCTGTTTTTCATCGGTTATGTTTATGTACTCTGATTCGCGTTTGAGGAGTTTAAAAATACATTTTAAAATATTTTTTTTGACGTGAGATAGATGAAAGTCTTTAGTATACTATTGATTTATGATCTAAGTATGGTTCTATTGTCTGTCAGAAAACTGTTTCTCAAAGCAGAAAACCTTCATGTTTATTTCGTTAGATTTATGGTCTTGTGTTTTGCGATAGTTGCTACTGGTGTTGTGAGCTGTTCAAAACAATTACTTCCCGGTAAAACGAGGTTGAAATACTCGTCGATAACAAACGGGCAGCACGAAGTTCTCCATGTTTTTCAGCGCTTATCAACTGGTTGTGTCTTGCTTCCACTTTCTATAACTCGTTCGTTAATGAAACATTTTGTAATGTAAAGTATTCCTCATATTTTCTACCTCACCGTGTTTTTTGAAAGGTCCTCGTGCTGGAATCCTGCTTTTCCATAGGCGTGGGTGGGTCCAAAAATGATGTTTCATACAGTCAGATCTTTTCACAAATTTAAACAGAGAAAGAACAACAAGGTTTACAGAATAAAGTGGATTCATTAGCTGCATACAGTTTGAAATTACAAGTATTGATATAAATATTAACAAGATTTTAGCGCACTTTAGTTTTTAACTTCGAGATAAATGTTTGAAACGTAGCGAAAATCATTAGAGGAACCGGATGTGAAGTATATAAATAAACATAAATAAGATCGATGGGTACTTATCCGTTACAAAGTAGTATTGCGGAATAAAATAGGTAGGTATCAATCAATCTCTTTCCATTGATGTGTGCTGTGTCTCCGAAACACACATACAGGATTCCAGTGTGGTCATTCACTTGACCTCACCTCGGCAAAACGGAGAGCCAACGAGATACACCCTCCGTGTATCTGGTGACCCGATGGCCAGTTCTCGTGGACTGGCAGGTGTAGGCATAGCACTAAGCATGAGGGCGGAACAAGCGCTGCTAGAGTGGATCCCCGTCAACAGTCGTCTATGTGCTGTTCGGTTAAACGGCTCCGTAAGAACTCGGAAGGATAGGGACACACGTCGTTGCCTTTTCGTCGTTTCTGCCTACGCTCCCACTGACTGCAGCTCAGATGATGTGAAAGATGAATTTTACAGAAAGCTTTCTGAACTTCTTCAGAAAGCTAAACGCTCAGACATAGTACTCGTAGGGGGTGACTTTAATGCTCAGATAGGTAGCTTAAACCAAACAGAAAGGCATTTAGGTGGATATTTTAGCATTCCGGCACAGCGAACAGATAATGGTGATCGTCTGCTGAACTGTGCTCAGACAATCGCTTATTCTTAGCAAACACAAATTTTAAGCATAAGGAGAGACATCGTCTAACATGGCGACCCCCTACACCAAACCAACGATGAACTCAAATAGACTATATTGCCATCAGTCACCGTTGGAGAGGGTCGGTAGAAGATTATCGCTCATTCTGGAGTACCTGCTTGGACTCCGACCACGCCCTAATACGGGCACGCATCTGCTTGCGCCTCACTGGACGCAAAAAAGCCACAGTAAAAAGACCCATTAGAACCGAACTGAGTAACAAGGAAACCAAAAGTAGGTTCCAGGAACAACTGAGGTCACGATTAAGTAGTTCTGAAGACGAGTCTGACCCAGATGTTGCTTGGAAAGATATACAAGCAGCTGTGGAAGCAGCAGTGACATTTATTAGCGACTTAAACCACAGAGTTTCAAAGAACCAGTGGATTTCTTCAAAGTCTATCACACTGATGGATTCTCGCAAACTCGTCCCATCAGGTTCCAAACATGATGAAGAGCGACAACAAATCAGATCTAGGTTAAGAAAAAGTTTAAGAAACGACCGTGAGCAGTGGTGGGCAACGAAAGCAAAAGAGATGGAAAAGGCGGCGACTATAGGGAACACAAGACAGCTTTACAGACTAATAAAAGAAACTGGAATCAATAAGTCAAGTGTAAGTGAGATTATATCAGAAAAAGACGACACTCTCATCTGCTCTCAGTCCAGACGTCTAGAACGATGGGCGGAACATTTCAGAGAACAGTTCAACTGGCCTTCAGCTACTCTACAACTACCCTCCGTTCCCAGACAGTGTGAATGGAACATTGAAGTAGGTCCCCTAACTCTTGCTGAAGTTCAAAAGGCTATAGTTAATCTGAAGCGAGGAAGGGCAGCTGGTTCAGATGGACTGGCTCTAGAGGTCTTTAAGGATGGTGGTCCAATCTTAGCGATTAGGTTGACTAATATTTTAGCTAAGATCTGGGAGTTAGACGTTATCCCATCTAACTGGTCACAATCACTTATCGTCCCAATATATAAGAAAGGATCAAAATCATCCTGTGACAACCACAGAGGGATTAATTTGACTAATATAATATCTAAAATACTAGCCTCGATAATTATCAGACGCTTAACTAAGACTCGTGAACTGCAAACACGAGAGAACCAAGCTGACTTTAGACCTGGTCGTGGCTGCATCGACCACATATTCACCATTCGTCTGATTCTAGAACACAGGTATACTTATCGGCGTCCGACAATGGTGGTCTTTCTCGACTTAAAAGCAGCATTTGACTCGGTAGACCGCGAGATTCTGTGGCAGTGTCTGTCATTGAAAGGCGTACCCCAGAAGTACATAAATCTTGTGAAGGTTCTTTACTCGAACACTACCAGTCGAGTCAGAGCTTATAGCGAACTGTCATCTACTTTTGCAACCTCAAGTGGTGTCCGTCAAGGCTGTCCACTTTCTCCATTTTTGTTTAACTTCATCATAGACCTATTGATAGAAATAACTTTCTCGTCGACTGAGTTCTCGGGTATTGATCTCCATCCAGGAGGTCCACTTATCGACTTAGAATACGCAGATGACATAGTCCTGTTTGGTGAAGACGCTGACAAAATGCAGAGTCTTTTGGTAGCACTAAGCAACAATGCCAGAATGTTTGGAATGCGCTTCTCTCCCTCTAAATGCAAGTTGTTGCTTCAGGACTGGTCTGCGTCAACACCTAAACTAAGGATAGGGAGTGAAGTAGTCAAACACGTTAGCAACTTCACTTATCTTGGAAGTCTGATCAGCCCTAATGGGTTGGTGTCTGATGAAATCTCAGCACGGATTCGAAAAGCTCGCTTGGCTTTTGCCAACTTGCGTCACCTTGAGCGAAGGCGAGTTATCCGTCTATCAATAAAAGGACGAGTATACTGCGCGGCAGTCCGTTCTGTTTTACTTTACGGCAGCGAAACATGGCCATTAAGAGTAGAAGACACTCGTAAGCTATTAGCATTTGACCACAGATGCCTTAGAAATATTGCTGGCATCTGCTGGGATCACCGGGTAAGTAATAGTGAGGTTAGACGCAGGGTATTAGGGAATGATGGTAAATCAGTTGATGAGGTCATGAATCTTCATCGACTGAGATGGTTGGGCCACGTGTTACGTATGCCTGAACATCGACTACCACGACGTGCAATGCTAACCAGTGTTGGGGATGGTTGGGAGAAAGTTAGGGGCGGCCAAACCAAAACGTGGCATCAGTGCTTGAAGACACTAACTTCTAGTCTGAGCCATGTTGGTAGATGCAGAATACTTGGTCGGGGTCCACGTGACTTTCGTTACCAATGGTTGGAGACTCTTGGTGACATGGCTCAGAATCGATCACAATGGCGTCGGTGTATACACTCCCTGTCTTCCCTTAAACTAAGCGATTAAAATCACTTCATATCTTTCTTTCTACGAACCAATTCTTTCTTCTTGTACTATATCTCTATATGCAATTTTTCTCTTATATATTACCATCTTTGACCTAACTACTGCTATGAATCCGGTGTTCATCTTGTTGTGCTGATGCGGTATGGCAACCTGGACCGATGCACATATGTGTCTGGTCCTACGTTGTAGCTGACTGACTGACTGAGGTATCAATCATAATTAAGATAAAAGAAGTTGTGTAACGGAAGTGAAATCAATGAGTGATTGCGTTATCATTCAACATGATAAAATAAATAAAAATGTAAGTATACATACAATTATGTAAGAGATAAATATCAGAAGACAATAAAAAGGGACAAATGGTTTAGAAAAATGGACTAAGAAACGAAATTCAGAGCACGATATGCTACTACAAATTTGTCGATTATACGTTTATTATCTGTGACCGTATACATCACGCCTTCCAACTGTTTAGTTATTTCAACAACTCTCATCCAGACGTAATGTTTATCGTGTAATACAATGGATATAACTAATGCAAATTTTTAGAATGAAATAATGAATAAGCCGGGAACATGTCCTACCCATAAAAGTTATTCGAGTGTTCTGGGATCCTCACTTCTTCCAGAGCACGTGGTCTCAGGCCGATTGGTGAATAACAGCGGAGTTTCGTCGTGATCGTTAGATATCGGGCATTGTGCCGGTCGACTGTTCAGTGGGAAAGCTGACAGAACGAAATGCATTCTAGTAAGTGGCTTTTGGTAGGTCGATGCTGATGTTATTTTTAGTTCTGTTCTTATTAATGGGATAATACTTAAGTTCACGATGAGGAACTTTACAGGTTCCTTCGTATGCGGCTTCGGTCTAATGATTCACAACGTACGAAAACGTGTGCACTAAGTTGTAGTGCGGTTTGATCGAAGACAGTAAGGTGAAAAAGAGGATAGTTTTTTTCGCTGAATTTAGTATATGTTGATATTTTATAAGAATTCTCTATCGTCATGGACCTGTCTTAGTAAAACGAACTATTAATTAAACTTCCTTGAATTTCATTAGTCTTCCGGAGTCAAAGTATTATTTTCAGGGAATTTACAACTTGGTTAATGGTTAGCATTGAAATCCAGGACCCATATTACTTTCTACTTGGTGCTTCAGTTAGATGTACCTACACTTGTGTTATATAAATATTTTAATGCTCATCTCATAATCGGCGTCAGAACTGTTGTTTAATCCTATTATTATGAAGTTTATTTCTCGGACATTTGAATTGGCATCGTTGAACATTGATTTGGATCATTAACCAGATAGCTATTTGTTCACTACTTGATTTTTTTGTAAAAAAAAGACATGCATAAAAAACTATGCAGAGCAAGGAATACTTGTACACTAGTATTTATCGAATCCGTAGTGGCTCAGTGATTATATCTTGACCCGTTCTGTTTAACTGCATAGTATAGAATCCTAGAGATTGTACGGATTTCTCTAAGCTTGTTAATGTATTTTATTGTGACATTATTCAAAATTGACCATAATTAGACAATTACATTTATTCAGTATCTTCCAACTATTGAGTTCATTGTTATTTCACACATACCACTCTTCCATTCCACGTTTTCCTTTTTAACTACGTTTCTTATGACTAGAATTTCACTGCATTCAATATTATTTTTTATCACTCTGTTATACTTTCTCTATTGTTTTTTTTCTGTCTTTGTGTTGTTTTGACCTATAACAATTTGAATTGATGTACCTTTAATTCAGGCCCTATGTTACCCGAAAATGATTGATTAACCATGTATATCCTTAAAGTAGTCAGCTACAACGTAGGACCAGGCACATACATGCAACAGTCCAAGACTCTATGCCTCATTAGCACAACAAGATGAACACGAACTTCATAGAACATCTCTGTTTACAGGGTCAAATGCTACTTTTAAGTCAAGAAAACTATGATTGTCGGACGCCGATAAGAATATCTGTGTTCTAAAACCTGATGAATAGTGAATATGTGTCCTTAAGTAAGAGACCTTTCGCTTTATAGGTTCTATAAGTACAGAAGCATAGACGTTACAAGCAATTTTTATAAAGCGAAACAAATACTAATGATTTTTTAACCCTTGGAAAATATATGTTTGAGATTAACTGTAAACTAATATCTTTCCTTTTTGTAAGATACTGTTTTGATACATTATCCTATTTGTTATTACGTAACACATATATTAGTTGCAATCTGTAAATAGATTTTTACATAGTTAACTTGATTGTTTGATGCATTATAAATTTCGGAATAATTAATTTATGAGTGATTTCAGTGTGCCTGATCAAACCAAAATATTATTTCACTTAATTAGTGCATTCGAATAATCGATATCATTCTGTCCGAAATTCAAAACCCAGCTCTATTTTGGTCAAAACTCCATTTCATAACTAGTTTAAAAATCCAGGTAAATTTAAAATAAATCACATGTTAGTTTATAACTGTACCACTAATTTATTTAGATAGAATTAGGTCGGAATATCTCTAATTATATAACCGAATAACTAAAATATCCATCCTGATGAGAGTTGAATGTTCATTTTGTTTATGTAATAGCTCCTCTTTTTTTTCAAGAAAACAGTAGTCTTTAGTCTTATTTGACCATCTTTTTTTAGAAACAACATTTGATCGATTAGGTGTTCATAAAATAAAGTGATATTTGTCTTTAAAGTTTTAATCTTACAACGTAGAGAACAATTAGAATGATAGATAAATCTCAGTAATTATTGAGTAGAATTAACTTTATAAAAATTTACGAATATGATGTTTATTTTCATCTTAATTTTCTTCATAAAATATCCAGTTATGATGAAGTCAGAAAACAGTCAGTTGATGATTCCTATTCTGATATACACTCTGTAGACTATGGAGATTATTATGAAACAATCTACGCTCTGTTATCTGTTCGAAGCCCATTATTTCGACATAGCTTTTCAGAAAAGTTAAGTAATCGACTCCAGGAATTGAATGAGAAACAGACCGAAACTACTACTTGTGAGGATAGTAAACAATACATTAAGTTGTAATCAAGGAAGTGGATGCTTACAATGAAAGCAAACAAAGAATTGCTATTGTTCTGGATTTGTGTGTTTTTCACGTCATATATGTCAAAACGAATTAAATGTCGTGAAATTTGCAACTTTTGGAATTGTCTTATGAAGAATTATTGTTTGCATTTTAATTGTATAATTATTATAAACTTAAATTATTATAATCTTATATTGCCATATTTACTAGCTTTCGTTTGTTGTATAAATTGTTGTTCTACTGTATTGTTAATTAATTACTGACTTATTACTTAGTTTTTCTGTCACTTTTGGCGTAATTATGCTCATATTGTATTTTCCCATTTATAAAAAGAGGAAGATAATAAAGAAAATTAATGTGTATGAAATTTGCTATTTATGTTGGTGTGCTTTATTGTATGAACTTTGAGTCATATGGATAACTGTAAAATATAGAGATAAGTGCTAAATTTGGCTTCTGATTGGACACAGTTGGAAGGAGTCCGAGGACAGGTAGGCTTTAAAGTCTCAGTTGATGTTGATTGATCACTGTATCATTGAGAAATTAGGTCGTTCGTCCTACAGATATCAATAAGCGAGGACAATAATAATATGTTCTTATAATTGGTAATGCGACCACTCGGTGGCAAAACAAATATACTTTTTTTCGAAAATGTGACAGTTAGCTTCTGAGATGAAACTGCGATCCATGCTATGGAACTCCAATGAATTAGCAGTAATTGAAGAATGACAAGACGTATAATAATAGTCAACTGGTCCAACGGAAGCTCGCAGTAACGGGAGTATGAGAAAATAATAGTCCAGTTATTTAATAATTATACGGTAAATATATGTATATTTATAGGAAAAATTTTATGGATTAAGTTACAACTACCTTGATACTCATTCTAATACAGTGATGGATTTTAATGGTTAAGGTGTTCGATTTACAGCCGTGAATTCGTATTTTCGAGTACGACTCTCTACTTCGATTTGGAGAACTGGCTAGTATCATCGTCCCTCACATTCGGAGTATGTCTCGTACTCATGCACCTTATGAACAAGATAATTTTGACAAAAGTACGTTTCATCGTACTTGATATATTTACGTGACTATTTCAAGCGTATCATAATGCTAAGTTCATATACATCTTTTGCATATGTTCATTGTTTTCATGAACACTAGAGCGAAATATATGTGTTCGTGTTCACCTACATAATTCCACGTTTTAATTGATTTACATTGAGCCTTTTATGTTTAAGTCTGCTTGTGGTTGTACATTAATTAGTGCTATATACATGGACTACTAACTTTTTTCATTGTGTTTATGTATCTTGCCCTTTATCTGTTCGCCTCTAACAGTTCGATAGTCATTGTAATTCCCGCTACGAATAGATCTTTTCATGATTTCATAATAATGATACCACTATTTATTGTTTACATAAATATTTAGTGTACATACAGCATACAATATTTACAAGTAGAACATTATTAAATCAAGATTCACTTTGTTATAAATTTCATAGGTTCTCTGACAATATAAAGTTTTCAGAACCTGACAGTTAAGTGAATACACTCAACTGCTTTTTATTTGCATAGTGATTGGAACAACAATTCGTATAAATTTACAGCTTTCTTATAAGGCCGTCTGATATTTTCAGATTAGTAAAATATGATACTTTTGGTGTATGAAATCCCCTCCAGACATTTGAAGAGTTTGACAGAATCGGATAAGTGGCTTGCTAAGACAAAGAAATGTCACTCGTGACAGAATTAAAGGTTTTATAATTGAATTGTTGTCTTTCAAATTATAGATAACCATTGACCATTTCAGAGTAATATATGTAAGCAAAAACAGTACTTTTCAAAGCCTAGTTCAAGTATTATCGTCAATCGAGTTAGAATGTTCACCAAATTGCAGTGAAAATGTTACAAAAACCATATTTATTCAACTCTATTTGTATGTCAATGTAGTCGATATCATATTTCATTCAGAAATCGATTGTAATTCTCAAGTTTTTGTATATTATTCTAACCACATATCCTGATTATTGGATTAATCGAAATAAATGATACAGGAAAATAATTATTAGAGTCAAAGTTTTCTTACAGTTTGAATATTATTCATGGTTCTATAATTACAAAGACTTGTTCTTAATGACCTTTGTAAACTCGTTGACACCACCAAACTTGAGATGCTTTTTCAAAACTTGGGGCTTAAGAATATGAAGATTGCAATGATTCCGTCTTTTCAATGTTGCCACAAGGCCTCTGTTCTGACTTCATCATCGAATCTCTATCCCGAATCGTTGAATAACAGTCATATTTATTTGCAAATTAGTGTTATTAACGACTACGCTAGCACGTAGATTTTTACCTGCACCACATAGAATAGCTGAAAGGAGATTAATTAATGCATCCAACATGACGTTTTGGGATGTGTACCTGTCTTCTTTTATGAGTGGTTTTTAAAGTGGTAGAATTAGGAAGTATATTTGTAAGAGCTGTAACATTAGCGTTGTCGATTGTAGAGGGTGTTGATTTCTCAAAATAGGTAAATAATTAGCCGGAGACGTGGGAAACTTTTGTCAAATTGCTGTTGTCTTTAGACGACTTTCGCTTGTCATGTTCTTCAGACTACAAAAGCAAACTTTATTCTATCATTTGAAACTGCTTTTTTATTTCTGAATGTGAAGTGTTTTGCTAACGTCTCCACTACTTTATAAGGGTGTAAAAGACGTCTTACGGAATCAACACATACAATTACGAATTCGTATGTGTCTACATGCCTGCTAATTTGCTCTTTTAAGAAAACTGGTCAAAGTTCAGAAGGCTTAATATCGTTAACATGGTCCATTAGTCTTTCACAAAATGAAACAGAGTCTGTAAACACAGATAAATCTCTACTCATTATAAACTGACCAGGCAAGGTTAAGTTAGTTTCATAAACGAGCTGTCAGGTGAACATTAGAAGTTTTTGATTGTAGAATGTATGCTCAGTAAAATTAGAGGTAAGAATTTGCTCTATCTGGTTACAACAGTCTGTGCCACTAGCGAGCTTTTCAGTTGTTTATGGAATCATCCCACTAGTCCATTTGCTGTTGGATGGTATGCTGTTGTAGTAATGTGATGGATTCCCAAAATGTGTGTAAATTCATTGAGCAGGTGCGGTGGAAACTGTGAACCTTGTCGGAAGTAACTTTAAAAGTGTTCTAACTTGTCGTTTGGATGCTGTCTTGGCTCATTTAATGCTACTTTTTGCATCTGGTCGTCGCTGATTGTGACGTCGGAAAAGCTTATCACTTTATACTCGGAACGAGGGACCTCTGCGATTCCCACAACGCAAAAGTAAGGACACGAAGACTGTAATATCATTAAGTGGCCGGCAATTCTTTTATTAAAAAAAATTTTTCCCACCCCTTTAAAAAATTTTTCATTCCGTTCTCCAAAATTGTTCATCCCGTTTCGTCCAATTAAGTGGTTAGTTTTAAATTCGTTCTAATTGGTTAGTTATGTCTTGAAATTGTTATAAAATGTCAGTGCTTGTCGACAAAGTACATTTTAATCATAATTATAGAGGAGAGTAACGTGCCATGTACAAGTGCTGTTGTTTCTCACGTTTTCAAAGAAACGGAGAACGTATTTTTGACTACATAGTTTCTCGTAGCGTTCCAATCAGTTGAAGCGTTGAAGTCCGCTGTCAGAATTTATGATGTAGCGTTGTCAAACACTGAATACCTGTGGCATCATCAATGAAAGATCTACGTACTGTCATTATGTTGTGAGAGATTCTCATTTGGACAGAGATCAGAACTCGTATATTTAATTTGTATGTTGGAGAAATGGCCGTAGAAGATCTAGCGGTTCGTCACAGAGGATTAGACGAAGGAGGTAATTTGATTAGCGTTATTACATTTTTTTCACGAAGGGCTTCTATGAACACTCAATGTCCCGCCTTCATGTTTTGTAAGTTGATAAAGGTTACTGGACTGTTGTACGTGGGAACGTGCGTCACATTAAGATAATTCACATTTGGTAAAACAACTATAGAACTCCGATAAGAGCATTCATCGGAAACGTTTTTCGTAGAATGATGAGCTCCATTTAGTGCAACTGTGTGATCCTTAGAAGTATTTGAATTATAGTATGAAATAAAAATCCCCGAAATAACGTAATTGGATCAAGAAGTGCTAGAAAACCACAAACGAATGTACTGTATTTAGAATTCCAAATCAAACATTCAACAAGTACAAAGATATCATTAGATCATTCAAACACCATATCCATCACAGCTAAAATTGGAGTGTTGGTGTCTGTAATCAATTGTACCTCTTCTTCTCAAGTCCATCCTGTCGGTCCGACATTGTGTTGGATAAAAACTCCGTATTATCTGCTCCCTAGGATTGTATACAATCGCCGTGTCAGTTATCTGCCAAAACCACTATCTAGAATTCAAAGCACAGATTTCTCAACACTATCCTCCCCCACGAAAAAATGTTGGATCTGTATATCCCCAGTTTATGAATAATGTGGCTTCATTTAAAACATATATATCACATTGACTAGAGTACAAATTAGAAGTGTTTTTGTGACAAGGATAAACAGCAGTTGACATGGAATTGAAGATGTCACAGGCACTCAGTGTTTGACAACGCTTCTACCAGCAACACCTTCCAATATAATCTGTACCCACCAAGGGAAATCAAAAGACAGAGTCGAGGAGATCGGAAGAGTGTATTTGGCGATTAGCAATATATCAGAATTCTCTGATCTAATCTGGCTAGCGATTGCGGTAGATGTTGAGAACGGCGTTACCACACGTGATCTGGTGCGGATGTATGACCGAGCGCCTTCAGCTAGATGAGTCCACTAAAACATATGGTCAGCATCCAATGTCGAAAACTTACAGGGCTATTTATTTTAGGGATTTATTTACCGCTACAGATCACTCCCCCCCTGGTGGGTTTGTGATGACCCTAAGACCTGGCCAGCCAGAAGTTTAAACCCAGCGAGTTTGTCGTTGGTATACACTCTTCTGATAGCTTGCTAGGATTAGCAGCGTCTGGTCGTCTTTCCTTACTATATGCGACCGAGGTACAACATAGTAAAAAAAGAAAAAGTTACAACGAAAATTTCGACTCCTCGTAAACTGCATCGATCTTTTCCAGCCGTCCTGGAAAAGAAAAATGAAAATGTAAGTGCATGTCGAAATACACTCGTATGTGCGTAATAACACAATGTCGGCGAAGAAATGGAAAATAAACTCAAGCACAAGTAATAGCGCTAAAAATATTTTATCTTTTTTGTTCGTTTATTTAAAATAAAATTAAAAATATATAAGCATATTAAAATTTTTTTTAAATATATTATATATCGTAAAAAGAAAGATCGAGATCTAACTCTTCTTCCAGAACGCGTCGTTTTAAGTTTATTTTCAGATACATTCGGAGTATCATCACTAGTGTT